CACTGAGTATGGCAACAACATAAAGGAAGAAATGAAGGTTACACTAAGTGAAATAAAGAAAATTCAACAGGGAACCATCAGTGAAGGGAAGGAAGCCATAACTAAACCAATGATTTGGAACATAAGTTAGAAATAGGCATTCAACCAGAAAAGAAAGAAGAAAGAAGAATTTTTAAAAAACCCAAGGATAATATAAGGCTTACCCTCTGGGACATGTCCAAATGTGCCAACATCTGAATCATAGGAATGCAGGAGAAGAAGAAGAAGAAGAGCAAGAAATCAAAAACTTATTTGAAAAAATAATGAAAGAAAACTCCCCTAATTTGGAGAAGGAAATAGACATACAAATCCGGGAAGCACAATGAATCACAAACAAGCTGGACCCAAAGAGTACCACACCAAGACACATCATAATTAAAATGCCAAAGGTTAAAGATAAACAGAGAATCTTAAAAACAGCAAGAGAAAAACAGAGTTATCTACAAGGGAGTTCTCATAAGACTATGAAGTGATTTCTTGAAAGAAACTTTGCAGGCATGAGGGGACTGGCAAGAAGTATTCAAAGTGATGAAAAGTAAGGACCTACAGCTAAGATTACTCTACCCAGCAAAGCTATCATTTAGAATGGAAGGGCAGCTAAAGTGCTTTCCAGACAAGGTAAAGCTAAAGAAGTTCATAATCACCAAGCTATTATTACATGAATTATTAAAGAGATTTATTTAAGAAAAAGAAGATCAAAACTATGAACATCAAAAAGGCAACAAATTCACAACTATCAACAACTGCATCCAAAAAAAAACAAACTAGGCAAACAACCAGAACAGGAACAGAATTATAGGTATGGAGATCATTTGGAGGGTTATCAACTGGAGGGGAGTGAATAGGACAAAAGGTGCAGGGATTAAGAAGTACAAATTGGTAAGTAGAAAATAGATGGGGATATTAAGAATCGTATAGGACATGGAGAAGCCAAAGAACTTGTATGCATGACCCATGAACTAAGGGTGTCATTGCTGGGGGAACTGTGGCACTGAGCAGAGGGGTACAAAGGGGGTAAAACTGGGACAACTGTCATGCCATAATCAATAAAATATACTTAATAATAACAGGAAAATGTGTTCAATTAAAAGTATGTTATATATACATGTGTGTATATGCATATATGTGTAATATATAAGTGAAGTGAATGACAGCAATGATATAAGAGATGCATGAGAGGAATTGGGAATATGTTGTTACTTGTTATTACCTGTGAATTGGTACAGTGTTTTGAAAGTTGTGAAGGGATTAAGAAATACAGATTGGTAGCTACAGAACAGTCATGGGGGTGTAACACACAGCACAGGGAATATAGTCAATAATATTCTAATACCTGTGTGTGGTGTCAGATGGATGAGATTTATTGGGATCACTTAGTAAGTTATGTAATGTCTTCTCATTGGACTGTACACCTGAAACTAATATAATAATGTATGTTAACTGTAATTGAAAAATGAAAAAATGATTTAAACACAAAACAAAACAAAATCTTTCCCTTTCAGTAGCCCTTTGGAGCTCCCATTTGTTTGGTCAATGCTGTCCCATTCATGAATCACCTAATAAAACCAATCAGATCTTCATTTATACTCCTTGATTTTTTGGTTTATTTTTGCGTCAGTATTACACTGTTTCAATTACCATGGCTTCCTATTAAGTCTTGCTAAGAGTAGCACATATTGCCCAACTTCGTTCTCCCCTCGCCCCAAGTTCATGGAACCCAAAGCAAGACGTTTCCAGTTTTCCATCAGAAGACCGAGGCAAGACCCAGAGGTAGGACCACGCCCTGCAGACCCTAGCTTCCTACGCTTCCTACATGTGCCTTGAGGGCAGAGCGTACAATGCACTTGCGCAGCCTGAAGGCTGTAATTGGACAGAGCGTGGCGACGGGGGTTACGTCACTTCCGGGGTGGAGATTGCAGCTGGTCGACCAGTGGGCTCTGCTGCAAGCAGGTAGGGGCTGGGTGTCAAAGGGCGTGGGGTCTGCCCCAAGCAGAGGAGCGTACACCTTTTCCAACGCTGATTCTTGGCCCTGTGAGAGTTGCTGGGTTGTGTAAAGGCTGAGCGGAGGAGGCGGGCTCCAAGACGCGCGGGCCGGGCTCGCGAGCCGCCTTCCTGCTGTCTGGAATCCCCCAATCCTAGAGGAAGTTTCGGCGCAGGCCCTCACCCAGGAGCCTGGCTTTGGTGGTTTCTCTTTGCGGAGCCTTCGGCTTTGTTGAGCTCTTAGTCTCGGTTTGCGCGGGTGGAAGTGGGAGTATTGAGGCGGCAGGACGCCCACGTCCCGACGAGTGAGTGTTCTCGGCTTGTGCCTGTTCTTTCTACACCGCCTGGACGGGACCCTATCAGGGCGACAGAATATGGCATATGCTGTGTCATTTAGCCAGAGCCTGTGCAAGGCATGACCAAGAGTTACGCACTACTGGCGGGTTGCACTGTAGTTTGGGGTTAGAGAATTCGGATTAGCAAGGGAGATCCCATTTTTCTGAGGCAGGCGAGAGTGCCGACTCTACAGCACTCCTGGGAATGGCTCTTGGAGATGTCTCACTGAGATCCTTGGTTACTCTGCTGCCTTCTGGTTGTGCGATTTTGGCAAACGTCTTAAACTCTTATCGCCTGTGTCCTCAGCTGCAACTTTGGAAGTAACACATCCACTCGTAAGGTTGTCACGCATAAATGAGGTTGCACGTGGAGGGTAGCCAGCTAGTGTCTAGCAACATGGGGAGGCTTCCAGATTAGCAGTTAACTGAAATTTATGTAGTCCTAACAAGGGTTGCTTTAAAGGAGGCATTATAAAAATGGATATACATAAGTTGTGTTTTGCTGAATTAGTCTTTTTTTTTTTAAAGTAAACAGGCACAACTAATTTATTTGGGATTTCTTTGGGATCATATATTTTAATCCATTACCTTGGCCAATGGGGTAGGTTGGGGTTCTTTTATTGTAGAAACTATAGATTCTGAAAAGACCATTTTTGCTATTGGGTGTTTGATGTCATCATTTGAGGGCTTTAGATTGACTAGGGACCTGGTAGAAACACTAGTACGATAGTTACCAAGTGCTACTATATGGCATATGCTGTGTCATTTAGCCACAAAGGAAGTACTGTTTTCGGTCCCTTTCTACAGATGAAGAATTGAGGCTTGGAGAAATGAAACGATGTGTCCAAAGTTGGAAAATCTAAGAGGACAAAAACGAAGTTAAAGGAGGTGTTTGGCGTAGGTAGAATGCACCAGGGAGGGGGTGGGAGGTGATTGTGGGATGCTAGAAAACACCAGAATGAATGGATATTTTCTCTTGGCACCGAGTTTCCTACTGGCAGAGAAGGGCAGTTGTCTTAAAGGCAAAAGCCTGTTTTATCTGCATGTCCTGGGCTAAGGTCAACACAGCTTAGGTTTTGCAGTGAGGTTTGGAACCCTGCTTCCCTGAAGTAATGGATTCCTGATGTGCTTTGCTTTAAAAGAATGAGATACTCTACACAAGAGTATGCAAGCCATATAAATGCATGATCACTTCACATTTAAAAGATTCTTAGCTTTATAAACAGATCTGTTTTAGGGTTATTATAGATAACACATTCCTCTAGTATACTTAAAATACTTGTTTTATCTAGGTTTGTAACTCTGCATAAAAGGAGCTCTGTGCACAAGAGCATGAAATGTGCCTATCCTACATACAGTCTTTTTTGTCACCATTATTTAAAAACAATAGTTAGTATTCATTCAGTATTATGTGCAAGACACTATGCTAGCATTTGATTGGACCATTCAGTTCTCACAATAACCCTGTAAAATGGGAACAATTGTCTTCATCTGCAGAGAGAAATGGGCTCAGAGATAATAAGAAATTTACTCAAAAGCACAGAGTAGGAAGGGCAGAGCCAATTCCATGTCACTCTCAAACCGAGTGCTTATCTATGATTCATTCCTTCATTTAGCAGATATTTATTATTATCTTCATTGGCTTTCCATTTTAATGTAATCACACACTTATTTCTTTATTTTATGATTGTCAAGGACCTGCTGTGGGCCAGACTCTGAGATGTGGGGGGATACAAAGATGACTGATTAACAGATATTTATTGAATACCTACCTTGTACTAGCATTGTCCTAGGTGTTGGGTATTACAATCATGGCCAAAACAGACACAGACCCTGATCTCAAGTTGCTTGTAATTATAGTAGGGGAGCTAGATAGTAAACAGAGACTCTCAAACTATTAATTGCTATTGCAGTGCATGCTATGGAGGGTGGTAGAGGTTCCTACCAGAATGCATAATGGCGTTGCCTGGTAGCGGGAGGAAGTAGGGATAAACAGGCTTTCTGAGGAAAGAAACATTGGGTTGGCCAAAAGTCCATTTTGTTTTTTCTGTCAACTAAAAGACACATTTTTCATTTTCACCAATAACTACTGATTTGGATATTCTGAGTATGTGGACTGTCTCCATCTGTTGGCTTCTAGTGGGTAGAGGCCAGGGGTGCTGCTAAACAGCTTCCAATGCACAAGACAGCCCCACAGCAAAGGATTATTTGGCCAAGATGTCACTAGTACCAAGAAACTTCATAAACCACTTTTGACATGTTTGATCAGTCACAGGACCTTCTGCATACACTGCACAAATCTTTTTTTGCATTTCAGTTGCGTTTTTACCTTTCTTGAAGTAATAAAGCATAGTATTCTGAAAATGTTGCTTATTTTCTTTCACCTTCAATTTCAAAATGGCTGCACAAAAATTCACTAATTTGGTAATTTTTTTTAAACATTGTATTTCATCATATTTGTCTGTGGTTTGCAAAATGATTTAACAAATATTTTTTAGCCCCACTATGGTCCAAGCCCTAGGATACAAACATTATGTATAAAGACACTCTTTCCTTATTTTGTACATAATTTAGTTAAAGTTTTATTTGCCAACCACGTAAGATGCTGCAATTGTTTTAGCAACATTATTTAACGTATTTGTGTAGCTTCTACTGTGTTCTAGACACTGTTCTAGGAATATAGCACCTGCAAACAGACATGGTCTCTGTCCTGATGGAACTTAAGCTCCTGTTGGGTCTGGAGGACGGAGTTGTAGAGGTAAGCAAGAGTCAGACCACGCAGGTCTCATGCATGCCAAAGATTGGGGCTTATCCCGAGAATGGTGGGGAGCCATGGAAGAGTTTCAGTCACAGGAGTAGCACCAAGAGATCTGTGTTTATTTTTCATTTTTTAAATATTTATTGATGATGCTATTAGAGTTGTCCCATTTTCCCCCTTCATTCCCCTCTACCCTGCACATCCTCTCCCACCCACATCCCCCCGTTAGTTCATGTCCATATGTCATAAGTTCTTTAGCTTCTACATTTCCCAAACTATTCTTGCCCTCCCCCTGTCTATTTTCTACCTACTATCTATGCTACTTATTCTCTGTACCTTTTCCCCCTCTCTCCTCCTCCCACTCTCCTGTTGCTAACCCTCCATGTGATCTCCATTTCTGTGGTTCTGTTCCTGGTCTAGTTGTCTGCTTAGTTTGTTTTTGTTTTTGTTTTAGGTGTGGTTGTTAATAATTGTGTTTGCTGTCATTTTACTATACATGTTTTTTATCTTTTTTTTCTTAGATAAGTCCCTTTAACATTTCATAAAATAAGGGCTTGGTGATGATGAACTCCTTTAACTTGACCTTATCTGAGAAGCACTTTATCTGCCCTTCCATTCTAAATGAATGCTTAGCTGGATAGAGCAATCAATCTTGGATGTAGGTCCTTGCTGTTCATCACTTTGAATACTTCTTTCCAGCCCCTTCTTGCCTGTAAGGTCTCTTTTGAGAGATCAGCTGACAGTCTATGGGAACTCTTTTGTAGGTTACTGTCTCCTACAAAGGAGTTCCCATACCTAGGAATCCTAGGAGCTGCTTCTAGGATTCTCTCCTTCATTTCAATCTTGGGTAATGTAATTATGATGTGCCTTGGTGTGTTCCTCCTTGGGTCCAGCTTCTTTGGGACTCTCTGAGCTTCCTGGACTTCCTGGAAGTCTCTTTCCTTTGCCAGATTGGGGAAGTTCTCCTTCATTATTTGTTCAAATAAGTTTTCTACTTGTTGCCCTTCCTCTTCCCCTTCTGGAACCCTATAATTCAGATGTTGGAACATTTAAAGATGTCCTGGAGGTTCCTGAACCTCTCCTCATTTTTTTTGAATTCTTGTTTCTTCATTCTTTTCTGTTTGATTCTTTCTTTCTTTTTTCTGCTCCACTCCATTGATTTGAGTCCCAGTTTTCTTCCCATCACTATTGGTCCCCTGTGCATTTTCCTTCATTTCACTTAGCATAGCCTTCATTTTTTCATCTAATTTGCAACCAAAGTCAACCAATTCTGTGAGCATCCTGATCACCAGTGCTTTGAACTGTGCATCTGATAGGTTGGCTATCTCTTGGTTGCTTAGTTGTATTTGCTGTGGAGCTTTGAGCTGGTCTTCTGTCTGGACCTTTCTTTTGGTCTTGTCACGCCTGTTACGTATGAGGGGTGGAGCCTTAGGTGTTCACCAGGGCAGGCAACCCAGTGACTGGGTTGTGACACTGTATGTGGGGATGAGGGTCTGAGAGGGAACAATGGCCCTTGCCCCGCTCTCCGTCAGATTTCAATCCCTTCTGCCACTTCTCCCACGCAAACTGGGCCTTTCTGGTGCTGATTCCTGTGTGGGTGGGCTTTTGTACATTCTAGGACCCCATGGGTCTCTCCAACAAACTCTCCTGTGAGGCTGGGAGTCTCTCCCCGCACCTCAACTCCTACCAGTATTTCCAATCAGTGCCCTGAGACTCTATTTCCTGGTGCTGGGACCCTGGGTTGCGCTTAGTGCCTCACTTCACAATTGCCGCCTTGCTGGGTCTGCCCGTTGCCCCCTCTCCCCGTGCCCAGGGTCTGCCAGCTGCCGCCTGTGCACCCAGAGTCTGCCCACTGAGGTCTTGTGCGCCTGGGATGCCTTACACGCCCGGTCCCACTGCTCTTTGTGCCTTCACCCCTCTCCGCCTGGCTGCCCAACTCCGCCCCTGCTACCAGACTGGATGAACGTGTCTATTTTAACTCCTTGGTTGTTGGACTTCCATACAGTTCAATTTTCTGTCAGTTCTGGTTGTTAATTGTCGTCCCTATCTTGCGAGGAGGCACAGTGTGTCTACTTACGCCTCCATCTTGGCCAGAAGTCCAGATCTCTGTTTATTAAAGATCCTTTGGCTCCTCAGTAGAGGCAGAAGTTGATCAATTTTAGGGCTATTTCAGAATTACGATTAGAGGGTCATGGTAACAGAACATATGAGGTTCTCCTGTGGGGTGAGAAGGGAGAGGACAGTGTCTGGGCTAATTCTTCCTTTTCTGGTTTGTGCATCTGAGGTGGGAGGTCCTGGAGGAATAGCATGAGTTCAGTTTTAAATGTCCTTGAGATAATATAAGTAGAGGTGCCACAAAGGCAGTGGTATAGGAGGATCTAACCCTTAGAAAACAGGAATGGGCTAAATCTCTAAAAACCTCTTGTCAGGGAGGAATATTTTGCCTGATATTGAGCACCCCCCCCGCCCCCCCACCAAAAAGAAAAAACACAAGGTGGCCCAGTAGAAAATGTGGAATGTTCTTCACATTTATGTAAGGGGAAAGTTAAAAACAAAATCTCCTGTCAACCTAGAAAATGGTCTCTACCAATGTAGAAAGAAAGAAAATTCTACTTTGGAATAAATATTAACCCAGAATGGGATGCAACACAGCCTAATCTGCCAATGAGATTACAAAAACAAAAAAGAAATCCCATCATTTACAATACATTAGGTAGTGTCTTGAGATTAATGGTAATTTATCCTCTGTAAGAAGACCTGAGGGCACCAGTTGCCGTCTGTTCTCCTTTATAGTTCACTCTAAATTCACCTGGTAATTGGAGTGGCTGTCTGTGCTAGTTAATTGTCTTTATCTGAAGGAAAAATAGAAAATCTGTAATCTCTTAGAACAGTAGTCATGTAACCTTCCAGGGTGACCAGGAGTTGGGGTGCTGTCTTCTTTGATGTTTATTTACATTTAAAAGAGATGGTTTCTAGGCTTTTCAGAAAAAGGTACCTGGGTTTTATCATTGGCTAGAGTTCGTTTATTTAGCCTTTTAAAAGATTTGCATACTTACCAAAAGGACAAAGGAAGGAAATAAAAATACTAGGTTTTGAAGTGCTCTAAGAAAAAGAAGGGAGAAAAAAAGATCTCTCCCTTTGGCAACAGGGAGAATTCTGCTTTTAAAATTACTTACAGTGTAGCAAAATGTTGAACTGGAAAGTGCACAGTATGGATTTTTTCTGGAGATGAGTTTGAAGTGAGTTCTCTAGACTTGTGCATGGTTAGGATGCCCTCAAGTGGTCAGATCTAGCCCATAATTTCTTTTCATTGACTTAAAGAAAAATGTTACCAGTGGTTCCAGATCTTGCTGGGTTCCAGCTAAAACTCTTGTCTCTGGTAGTCAGTGCTTTGAGGACTTGTCTTGTTCCCTTTCATGTCACTGATGCCATTTCTCACACCCATTCAGTTGTACACATAGGAGCCCTTTTGTGACTGGTAATGGTCTGATTTTAATGGGGAAATGAACTCTCCATTAATCTGTCCTGGAAGGCCATAAGCATGGGGATGGAAACGGAGATTGGCATGTAAATTTACCTTGAAAACTTCTTGCCACCACCAGCGTAAGTTCAGCCAGTTCCTTTGAATTCTATCTGAGTTATCCTTCCCATCTTAAATTCACACCAACCTGAGACTTGGCCACTAAAATGCTCTTTGGAGGGAGAGGTATGCTGATGGCAGCTGAATTACTTGAACATTGCTAATCAATGGTTTGAGCTTACTTGCTGTAGTTCGCTCTTACTTTGTTAAGTAAGCACATGGTTGTACTGGGAACACTAAGTTTTGAAGTGAAATGTAAATTCTTCCAGGTTTATGTGAGTAGGACTTAGCAGTTGTTAAATTGGAAATTGTGATAGTAAACTACTATTATTTCAAAATTCTCTGAATATGGTAGTATAATCCAGAGTGGTTTAAAATATTAGCTACAGTAAGTGAAGAAAATTACAACAAGTTCCCGTTAAGCAGTGAGTTTATTTACATTAAGTTATCTCATAAAAGCCTTTGTACTCTGTTCAGGTGATAAGAACCGAGTTAGGGATCTGCTCACCTCCAGACTGTATCAGGCCCTTCCTGTTTAAGCTGCAAGTAAGCATTGGTGTTTTTTTTGTTTTGTTTTATTTTTTTACACGATCCCGTGTTTAATGCATGTAAGAGTTAAGAATGTGAGCTTTATTTAGAGTCTGAATACTTGGTTCAAATCTGTTTTGCCATTTGCTTGCTTTGTGACTTAGGTGCTTTTATCATTTAGCAAATGGAAATAACTATCATACCTGCCTCATAAAATTGCTCTGAGGATGAAATAAGATCATGGGTGTGATGTTTGTAGCCCAGTGTCTTGGCACATAGCAAACACTAAAAAGGCTAGTAGTTGTTATTAATATTTTTTCCACAATAGCCATAAATGGTAATAGGCTAAAAATAAACTTCCCTTTAGTTTGCTTAGTAATCTGTGTACTAATATTGTTTTAATTAATTGTCATGTATGTTAGAAAGAGTTACAAAACAGACAAAACATTAGTTATATTGGAAATAAAAATGTACTTCTGGTTTGAGGAGTTAGTATTTATAGTACTTTGTACTGCATTCAAAGGAACAAAGGATTGTGACATTAGGCTTCATAGCACTGTGTAACATATAAAAAGCATCTGAAAGCAGCACATTCCTTCTTTTCCTGTCATTTTCCAGGTCTTTACAGAGGGCGAGCTTCTTCTCTCATCTTAACCCGGAGATTTACAAACTATGACAGTAAAATAGTCTTACATACCTGTGTGTGCACCTTCCAAGAGCCCAGCCCAGCACCTTGCACAAAAGAGTTGTAGTTTTTGCTGACTGCTGACTCTTTGAAATAGCAATTGGACCCTGAAGTCCTAGCACCTGAGTCGCAGAGATAAGCATTCTGTGAGGGAGCCTGAGGTGTTAAAGGTGATTGGTTTGCTGATTTCTTAGTATGCTGTTCATT